TTCAAATTTTATTTTATTTTTCAGAATTTCTGGGAGAAAGAAAGAAAAGATATTTTTTATATTCAGCTCTCAGGGAATTGATATTCCTGAGATTTTCAAAATTGACTGTTGATAGTGAAGCCTCCTCCATTGTGAAGTTTCAAGATTCTGAATTTTTTGAAACATTAGAAAGTTATGCTGCAAAAAATTCAATACCAGAAAAACTGAAACAATACAAAAATGAAGATCCATACTACCAGGAAAGCAAGAAATGTATCCAACACTTGATCCATATATTTCAAGATAAAGAAAGGTGTTCAGATTTGAGGATGTTTTCTTTCTCCATCTTGGAATTCATTGGAAAGAATTATGGATATAAAATTCTGGGGGTGAATGAAATGATCCCAAGCTTACAAGAACAGATAGGCTTAGTTTCTTCCAGCTTGTCATTCTATCATGAGATGAGCAACATTTCATCTCATCTGATCATCCAATTTGGAAACAAAATTCATGATTTAGTTTCTCAGAAGATAAAGCAACAAATCCATCTTGATGACAACCAGAAGAAAAAAATCAAGGAAGAAATAATGTTTAAAGAAATTTCAGCAGTTACAAGCTATGTCAACATTGTTTTGTCAAAAAATCAAAATCTTTTTATGAGTGTTTATTTGAATGAAAATTGGGTTCAACTTCATAAATCCAATATTATTCAAGCAAAATTTGTACAGGATTTAGTGAAAAATAACATCTTGGAGTTAACCAATTCACCTTGATTTTAGAAAATTTGAAAAAAAGGAACAACATACATACATATATGTTTGGATAACTTACACTTTTGAGAACTTAATGGCATAATCATCATGTTTTGATTTGTTTACACTCCAATTAGCTTCATTAATACCTTGTGTTTTTTGAGCTTCTTGCTTATTAAATTAGTTTCTTGACGCAAATATCTATATCTTGTGGTACAGGTTTTGTTTACTTGAGAATTATACTTTGCAACTACATTAAATCCAGGGAGAAAATCAGATTTTTCAGAAGTCCTTCTACAATGTTTGAACAGTTTCAATCACCTACAGCAAGAATTTCTAGATAAACTGTAAATAATCAGTCCTGAGCTTGCCACCCTTCAGATTTTATAATTTCTAGTTCACATAATATTGTTGAATTATGGTGTATAAATCTTTAACATGTGGAACTTAAAACAAATATCAATACCTGTGAGTGTTTGAATCATGATTTTTACCAAATTCAGCTGTAAAACTGAAAAAACCCTGCATGGTTTTGCGCTGAGTTGAGGGTTGTAGTACCAGAAGTGACACACATTGTGCAATGCTGGGACACTACGCTTTTTGACAAAAAAGTGTTAGCATAGTGATTTTCTTGCATGCTGCAATCACGTAGTGTTAGCAGGTCTTTGCTACACTGCGGGCCGTTAATGGCCACTACAGGGCCAAAATGCCACTAACCATTGGACACAGCAGAATTCTGCTACTCTATGCTAAAGCTTAGCAGAATTCCGCTACATTATGCTACACTAACCACTACGGTTAGTGTAGTGGCCCACTGTTGCACACATCCTGAATTTCAAGTGGTCTTGCTTGAAGTTTTTAATTGTTTCAAGCACCTAGCTCCAATACTCTAGTATAGATTCATTGTGTATAATCAGAAACCTAACAAGTTTTTGCTTACCAGCTGTACATACCAGTGTTGATACATGTCCCATCAATCTCTATCCAGTACTAATATGACTGAAAATCAACACCCTGGAGTCTTTGCACCAGAATTTGTGACATATATGAATGTAAAACAGACAAAAATACATGAGGTGTTGTTTGCTATGCTGTACAACCAGTTTCACAAAATCATTCACATTTAACAATCAAATTTGTGGCCAGGTGTGTCAAAAAGTCATTCACATTTAACAATCAAACTTGTGCCCAGGTGTGTATCCAACATCCCTGCTTGTTCCATGAATTTTCTTTTGAAAGGGGCAGATCATAACATTCTCAAATTCTTGTTGCATTTTTTTCTGTCATACAGTGGAATTTGCCCTGCTAAATCTCCATGATTATCCTCAATAAAATGCAACTTTACTTAATGAACTTCCTGTCAATGGGATTTACAATTTTTAGCTTCTTTCACAGAATTCAATGCATGGCTATACCTGGTGATTCAAATTTCCCTAAGCTTTGTATCAATTTGGAAAGATGAATACTGATAATACTGATTCTTGAATTCACAACAGATACCTCTCCTATTCTTCTTCCTGGAGGGCTAGGGACAGGAATGTTAGATTCCAGAATGGTGCAAATGTCAGAAGAAGAGGTTCAGAGATATATTGAAACTGTCCCTGAGCTCAACAAGCAAGTTACAATATTGCCAAAAATAGGTGAGTTTGAAGAAAGAAAATGAAATGCACTCATGCACTGCACTGTCTGTGATATGAATTTGATGATTCTGTAAAAATTAAACCCAATTTGAACTTTTAGGTGTTTCCAAAGAGAATGATTATATTCCTTTGATTGGAACTTTGAAGTTCTCCCTTAGAAGATCTCTGGAAGAACTGAAATTAGAATACCCTCAGGAGAGCAAAGTTTTGATAAGCCAACTTGAAAATTTGATTTCCTTTCAACAAATGATGGTGGATTGGACAGGCAAGGTGTTTGAAACTATTTTCAACATGAAAAACACCAATGAAATTCCACCAGGCCCTAGTCAACCATCAAATACTAATTTAAAAAGTTCAACATCCAATCATTTAACCATGAGTAGAATGTGGAAGAAGCTATTGAAAGCCTTACCTTCAGAGAAAAAAACAACAAAGGAAGAACCAGCGAGGGAACTAAAATCACAAGAAATTCCATCAAACAAACCACCAATCTTGACAGATGAATATTTAAAATTGGATATAGAATCCAAAGATTTGTTCAGAATAGTAAAGGACAAGGCCCTGATTGGATTCATAAGTAGAATGTTGGAAGATGCTTCTTCATTCAAAATAGAAAATTTGAGGGAAAAGGATCAAGAAAAGTTTGACAAACATATCCAAAATTTTATTTGTTTGTTACTCAAGACAGCTGAATACATGTACAGACAAAAACTGATCACAGAAGCAGCCTTTGAGGATTTTTTTGGGAATGACAGAACCATTGAGATTGCTGCAAAAAACATGATCAAAACCTTTGATATGTATTGCTTTTATGCATTTTTGCCCATAAGAGAGCTCTATAATATTTATTCAATCCCAAAAGACTGGCAATTTTCACATTTCAGATTATTTCTTGAAGGTAAGCCACAACTTATTTCTATGCAGATTCATTCAAAATTGCAAACCTTCATTTATGATTTTACTTTCCATTCAAAATTTTGATTTGTGTAGAATTTTTGGAAGGAAGAAAGAAAAGATTTTTCTTATATTCAGCCCTCAGGGAATTACTGCTCATGAAATTTCTAGATTCAAATGTTCACCTTGATACCTCCTTCATTCTACAGTTTCTGGATTCCAAATTTTTTGAAACATTAGAAATATATATAGAAAACAAGTCCACACCAGAAACACTTGAGCAAACCCAAAATAAAACTTTATATTCCCAGGAAATTGAGAAATTCACTCAACACCTCATCCAAACATTCCAAGATCCAAATCAGTATTCAACTTTACGGATTTTTTCATTCTTCATTTTGGAATTCATTGGAAAACATTATGGATATGAAATTGCCCCTGACCTCAAAGAAAAAATGGATTTAGTTTCTTCCAGCTTTTTATTCTATCAGGAGATGGCAAACATTGAGAATCATTTTGCCCGAAGTAAATATTTCATGTCGGTTTCTCAGAAGCTCAAACAGCAAACCTATGCTGATGAAAACCAGAAGAAGAAAATAGTTGAAGATTTGATTTTGAAAGAACTTTTAGGAGTCTCAAGCTATGCCAACCTTCTTTTATCAAAAAATCAACACCTTTTTACCAGTAATTATTTGAAGGAGAATTGGTTTCGAATTCATAAATTCAATATTCACATAGCAAGTAATGTGCAAAATTTAATTAAAATTGAAATATACAAGTTATCCCATATATCCTGCTTTGCATAAATCTGAAAAAAAAAGGAATCCAACACATATCCTCTTGGATCACTCAGTCATTCTAGAACTTTCAGGAGAAACTTTCATGAGCTTCAATGCTATGACAAATTTTCCATGCACTTGGATTGTTTTGCTGAATATGAGAATATGTTGGGCACAAGATTTGTATTTAAGGCATACACTCAACGCTGCCACAGATACGGTATCTGCCCGTATCTGCCATGTATCACTATGTATCTGAGCCCCAATAAAAAAAAACTATCTGACCAATCTGCTTTTATTTGCAAGGAGATTCAACAAATTTGGTTTTTGGCCATGCAGCTTTGCAGAATTCTCCATGATACACACAGTGTATCGTATCTGTGGCAGCGTTGATACACTCTACATGCAACACCTTCAAACCTTGCATCATATTGCTTAGGCTTTAAATATTCTGTACACTTTAAAATAGTTTGATCTTCCCACAAGACTATCATCTTCAAATCATGATCTTTATTTTTTCTTTGAAATTATTTGTATGTCTTCATGGCCAATTGTCTCTTTCTAGCACTACCATTGGCCATTTGTTTGTTCTATATAGCTTTGAACATTTACACACATAGAGTCAAAATCTATACTAAATATCAATGTGGTGAATGTTTCTTGACTACTCTAGCCATTGGCTGACTTCTTATTTTAAACTTGACTCAAACTATGCACATAGTAAACTTGATCACAAATTTGCTGATAGAGAAATCATGACAGAAAAAAAAAGGCAAGAGAGAAAGAGAGGCAGAAAAGAGGTGGAAAAAGAATTAAAGAAACCCTCAGAAATAACTCAACCAGCCAACAACAACTTAGGGTAGTAAAACCCTGGCAATTGGCATCTAGCCACACATCAGATGCAGTACTGTCTAGACACTGTATAAGACACAACTCAGCCCAACACAGATACCCATTGGGTATCTACCTCCAGTAGGACTATCATTTGTATAACCTTCAGGGTGAGACCAAAAGCACATGGAGTCAATAGAATGATTGGCAAACGGATTACATTAGCAAGCTAGAAGAAATAGGTTATGAATGAGACTTGTGTACATATCAATCGAGTTGGAGCAACATGAGCAATCAGAAGAAGAAGAAGAACAACAACAACAAAACAACAACAAAAACAAGAACAAGAAAGATTGTGAGGTGCCGGCTTGTCTTTTTTTTGATGCATTACTGGTTATGTGAATTGGTATGAAGATCATTTGAAACCCCTGAGAACGGAAAAGATGAAGAATAGTGTGTTGGAAAAGGGTAAAAACGGGTGACTTTAAAAAAAGAGGCCATTGTGAAGGGAAGCAAGAGAAAGGAGCATAAGAAAGACGTGCTTGATGAGTTGAGGGAAAGATGTTGCTTGTGAGCTAACAGAGCTTGAGAAAAAACAGGGGAAACTCGTTTGGGGGCGAACAGAGGGGATGGTCTCAAGACTTCAAGAAATCGAGTACGACGTCTGCACAGGCCATGTCCTCATCGTCTTGAGTGAAAGCACGCGCCTCGACCTTGTATTTGGCATGGGGGATCTGCTTGGGTAGTTCGACTTCCTGGACAATCTCGTAATGACCTGGTTCGATGGGACATTGGAGCGTTGCATTCGCTTTTGATCTACCGAAATAAGACAGTGATAGATAGACATTAGTAAATCGTAAGACAACAGTATGATTCTCTGTTTTTATGCCACTCGAAATCCGAAAAGAAAGAGCCAGCCCCGACTCACAGTTCTTCACAGATATCAAATCGCTTCTGGATTAGCTTGATGTACGCTCCAAGTTTGACTACGACATCTGCATAGGCGCCTTCCTGAGAAGATTAAAAAAGAGGGAGAGAGTGAGTCGATTGAACCTGAGAGTGTTGATTGTGTCATCTGGATTTTTACCTTGATTAATTCGTGGACGGTACCGGAGGCACGAATGGTGAGTTTTTGACCTGGTTCGGGAGGGTTAGGGTCTACCTCGAAGCTCTCAATCGTTACGGCATCAGAGGCTTGACCTGAAGGAGATGCAAATAAAGTAGATATATATCAGCTGAGGTTTTTCTGGAGAGAGAGAGAAAGAGAAGACTGATAAACGAACCGCAATCGTCGAAGGTGAGTACTGTCTGGGTCGAAGGACTGTCATCTGAGTTGAGGTTCTTCATGAAATGCTTCGAGATCTCGGAGAGTGAGTCGGATTGGAATAAGTTATCCTTGGACTTCTTCCATCCCAGGCCTTGGACGGTCGATGTTGATGAAGGTTGGATGGCTAGGTTGAGTGCTAGTGAGAATACCAGACTGATGAATATCTTGAGTGTGCTGAGATTCGTCATCTTGTTCGTTTCCTGATTGTATGCGATGGTTCTGAGGTAATTGCTGTGAGCTGGTTGGTGGTCAGTGTTGGTGTTGGTGGTCAGCTGTGATCAGCCAGCCGAGCGCGCACGCCACCACCGCTGGTTGAAGTACTGAACGTGATTACGTAATACTTACTCTCTGAGTGACCGACTTCGCCCACACTCTGACTCCAAACACCACCTCATGCACACACGGCTCCTTTGGAAAGACTGAACGCAAGAAATATGTACGAGAACCAGCTTGGATAGCTTCCCTTTCCCCCCTGAGCTATGTAGATAGCATGACTCATCATCCAGCCAACCAACCCACTAGGTGCACAAATGGACAATGTTTAACTCTCAGAAGAACAGCACCCAGCTCTGATTGGAATTTGGACAAAGATCTCAAACCATAGCTGGTGCTTGTTCTAGGCCTAACACAAATATGGGGCATTCCTGTGTATTCATAGGGATGACTCCTCCATGAATCTTGAGTTTCTTGTGTCAATGGCTTTCTATGTAGCCCATCCATTGGTTCTACTCCCCTCATGATCCACTGGTCTTGCTCAGTCTTCATTTCTGAGTCTAAAATCGAAAAGCCCATAGATCTTTTCCCTACAACTATGATCTTAAAGGCTTCTTGGGGTTTGGTAGGTTAGTTGAATACAAAAGACTTATAATCAAGATAACACTAGGGACAGAAATGATATCATGAGAGTGAAGGAAGGATGCCATCCCTCATAGGATATACAGATTCAACCTTACTAAAATAGTATGGTTTATCCTCCATTCCAAGTCTTGATTTTGAAGCTTGAAATAACCTAAAATCAGTGCAGGAGGACCACCATTACCAGTTGCATATTGGCCCCCTGCACGCGGTCTCGTGCGACGTGATCATGTGAGCTGTGGAACTGTGAGCTGTCACTGGAAGGGGGTGTGAAAGCTTCTGTGACATGTCGTCCTCCAACCTCAACCGTGTCTCTCTTCAGCCCAAGCAGGAGGTGAGATTTGTGAGCTACATACCACCACCACCACCTTGGATCCTCGAGCTGATCAAACGGACGCTTCGTTCCTCTCAAGATTCTTCTCAAACAAAACCACAAAACCGAGGTGAGAAAAAAAAGTGATCCGCAAGAATGTTTGTTCCAGAAAAAGAGGCGTCGAATTCGTCGCTCTTCCAAACCGACGTCCGCCGACGAACGAATCTATCTACAGCCACCAATGCGCTCCGGTCGGCGGCCGTCGAAGCCCAAAACGATTCCTTGGGCTTGTCTAGTGAGGAAAGGTTGTCGGAAATGGAGGACGAGTTGAATCGGATCGTCGATAGGGATGTCGAGACTCTGGTCGAGGGCATGGAGGAAATCATCGATCTTTCATCAGTACGCGATTCCAGCAGGTTCTCCTAGTCCTGTCCGAAGAGTTGAGCAGCATGTTAATCTTATCGCTGTTCGTTCGATGTTGGCAGGTCGGATCGGTTGATAAGTTGCGAGCCTTGCAAGACAGTTTAGCGATCGAATTGAGGACAGAGACGCTTGTTCGATCGTGCACTTCACTGATGGCCCTGAGTCATTCGATGAAGATGCTATGGCTGTTAGGAGACGAGGCCAATGGGAGGAGGATACAGGACGCCCGAATAAGATCATTGAATGCAGAAATCGTCAAACTTAAATCACGTGCAGCCCAGTTAATCGAAGAACTCAAAGTCAGCCCATCGGCTGAGTCCTCCTCGGATCATCAAATGAACCTGGACCCCTCGCCGCCCTCTTCCTCCTCCGACGCTCAACACCCCAATTGATCGATCCCAGCTACTCTCCATATCTCATTTGGCTTCCCGGATTCCCAGTTGTGGGCCTGTTGGTTATCCAAAGGTAATTACAACCACGCCGACATAGGACTCTAGTGTCATCCTGTTCAAAATTGAAAGACAAAAGGACAGATTTTAAATTGTATCCATACATATCCATTTTCATATTTATTTGATTGAAAACAAAACCACCATGTGCACCTCGTTCTAACATCCTGGTACTAGACAAAATTGTGTATAATATTTCTGATATGCATTGCAAATGATCATTCCAAACAAGGCTGTTAAAATAATCTTCAACCAGCTATTGCGTCTTCCAAATCCGATCGACTTATCTCATTAACAGTCTCCATCTACTTGAATAATGTTTTTTTTTTTGGAGATGATAAGAGAGAAACATCTCTGCATACAATATGGTGAGGGTAGACCTTGCTGCATGTTAACGTACCCTTGCCATTTGGAAGATTGTATCTTGTATCTTACAGCCTGTGGGGTTTCCTAGCTTGTCGTTCTCCCAAGGAATGCAGCATCCTGTTATGTTACCTGGTCAAATGGTGTTCAATTATTTGACCAGTATGTATGTTCTAATTTCTAATCTTATTGCTTTGCTCAAATTGTTTTCTTTCTTCGCAATCATGTTGGATTGGAATTTAACAGGTGCCAGTCAGTTCAAATCTTGCAACGACTTGAAATTTTCAGTCTTCTCAAGATCCTGCAACAGGTATTTCCCAATCTTCTTGTCCCATGGGTTGCTTGGAATTCTCAACTTGAGAATCCTGCTAGAAGCTTGTCAGTGTATGTATCAGCCCCCTCACAGATAGTGAATCAACAACCAATATTCAGCGATTCTGATTTTGTTATGGCTAGTCACGGTCTCGGTTCCATCCAGTGATTTTAGGAAATGCTTAGAGAAGTTCAATTTGAATATCTCAATCCCAAGACTTACATGAATAAATCCTGGAGGATTCTGAGTCGAACAAGTGGGAAGGGGGAAGGGGGAAAGATGAAAAAGTTAGTCTTTTCCTTCAGTCTCGTGTATCATCAGATCACCACTATGGATTAGCTTCATGCTTGATGCACTCCAGTGAAAAATATCTTATTTTTAATGCGCACAGTGGCTGGACTGACCAGATGAGGCCTTCACCTTACAAACCCCCGGATGTTTTGGCGACTCCACTGGTCTTGAAACACATAGAAGGGTCATGGAGGGTCAAAGCATGATTTCCGTGGGGAAATAAGCTTCTTTACTCTACAGTCGCCAGTCAGGTCATGGTGAACCCCGGCTCTGGGGTCATCCCTTGAGCACTGGGCGCGCTAACGTGTTCTACGGCGACGCGGTGATTTTTACCTATATTTCCTTGCGACACTTTTTCTAATCAGGACCTTTTTCTGCCCCAGGAATGATTTCTGTATGTGAGGGATACACAGCCTACGAAGCAACAATTGAAGCTTCTGTCTTGTGCTCTCTCTCTATTCTTCCGCATAACCACGGAATCTGATTGATTATCATGTATTATCACAGCGGCTTCGAGAGGCGTCCACAGACTGTGTAAATTTGTGAGACCAGCCGAATCCGAGACAAGGTACCTAGACCGAAATGACAGGCAAATTTCTTAAGCTCATAGCAGAAATCAAAATCCAAATCAGATCGGCTGATTTTGCGATTGATTCCGCATTCCAAAGAATCGGTTCATCACATTGCCAACAAACGTGCTTGGGTACTCTTTCCTATGTCTTACTCCAGATTTCTTTTGGCACCAGAATCTCATAGGTGCATCCACATCTGCAGTAGCTCCTGATGAAAATCAGTCATTCAAACACATATTTATTCCTATGACGGTTAATAATCGTATCATGTCAAAAGGAAAACAGAAGCCTCGTAATAACCAAGAAATATATAAAAGTACATTTAGAATACAAAGTTGCATGGAAAGAAAAATTTTGAGAGTTGTCAAAAGCAAGGAGAGGTGAGTATCCGAGCATGTTGATGAGCTATTATTGGTAAGGTGAGATAGAAGAATGTGAATCGGGTCAATGAATAATTAGAATAAATAACAGGTCGAATATAAGTGGCGGAGCGAAATTTCACCTTTTCTTCTGGCTGGGTTTCTTCCCAAGAGGTCCTCGTCAAGTAGGTTCCGTGTTTTGTCAGAGAATTTGAAAGATTCTTGAAAGCCTAAAATCCTCAGAGTTAGTACTTGGAAAGGTTCGTTTGAATGATGATTGATTGAGTACTTACCGTGATAAAGTTGAAAGAAATTGAGGTATAGTAATTGAAAGATGAAGGAATCACGTGGAATCGATGAATTCTTCTGAGAAGTGATAGATGATCCAAGTGAAGAAAAGTCGGCCAGGCTGATGGAGGATAGAATGTACAAATGATTGAAGAGGGAGCTTACCGAAATTCAAGTCGGGCGTTCTGGAGATGGCATCATGTCCTCAGGGTATACCCGACGCTCTAGGACATCCAGCTTGCCTTGCTCGGAAAAGAGTTCCATGCCACCGTCATCGGTGAAGCGGTAGGAGTGCGTAGCACTTGAGGTAACCATGGGCATTTGGTGAGCGGTTCTGACACGAACAAGAAGGCAGCAGTTTGGACGGCAGTTTCGGGATCCAAAGCGGACTGGTTTCGCAGGCCTTTGGCCAGGATGGGCGAGGGGAGAAGTAACAGGAGGAGTGTGAGGGGCCACCATGGCGGGCGTGCTCCAAAGGGAAGGAGGAAGGAGGGGAGAGGAGAATGTGGTGGTCTGGTGTGGATGAAGGAGGGGAAGTGGGAGGCAGAGAAAAATCCTGGGCTGGTTTTTATATTCAATGAACACCGGGGAGCAGCACCGTTGCGACTAGGGCTCAGCCTTGCCCCAGCGCTAGAACAAAGGGAAACGCGCCCGATGGGACTTCAAGCTAGTCATGCCTTTTCCCTTTCACAATTGTTTGTTGTATGTATTGAATTGCTCATGAATGTGTAGTTGGAATAGATACAAACAAACTAGTTTGTAGAAGACATTTTCCCGGTGGCCACTCGTCCTTTGTGAAAGGCGGTTGAGAAGCTTGCGTGATCTTTAACGGTTGAGAGATTGATGTATGTATGAATTCACTTTGTCCTTGTGTTTTCCCCGTCCTTACTTCATTCCGATCATTGTTGAGTTTAACAGCTAAGGCTCAACTCAATTAGTAGCCGAGACCATAAATGCCTTTGTTCCTAAGCGTATTGTCGTGATGCAACAGGAAATTCCATCTTAAAAGTGAGAGGGCAAAATTATGTATCAGAAGCTGAACGCAGTTGACCATGGTAGGTCTGGCAGATAAGAATTGTTTGTTCCTTCAAGGTCGTAATTGCCTACGTATCTTGCAAAAAGACGTTAAAAATTATGATTGCTTGTCCCCATTAAGCTTTAGCTACGCGATCGGATTGAATCGAGACGGAGACAATTATCAATGTCATGATCTTCAGCTGAACATTCAGCCTGCAGTGGCCTTGGGGTAAATATTTAATGAACCTCGCCTCATTGAGTGTTTGTTAGTACTGATCTAGGCACGTATCAATTTTGTATGGGAATTCAAAGAAAGGCACTTGTACGCTTTAGAGCCGTGATTGTTGTCCTGATCTCCCTTTAGATGCATCTCTACTGAGCTGCTTTTCAAGACAAGAAGTAGTTTAAAACATTCAAGTTGCGACATCAGATTCCGGACATTGAGGAAGAAGAAGGCAAGTCCCCAGGTCCATGAAATCCAATTAGAAGAAAGATTTGCTTGGCCATTCCTTGACTTTGTTTTGGTTTTGTTTTGATATGAACACCGTCAGGAGACTACACTGTCACTAACTACACTGAGCACAGTTTCAATCGCTCAATGCCCGTGAACGGTTCTTCCACCCCCGTCGGATTTTTGCTCACATTGACTTCGGGGCTTCTTTGGTTTTCTGACTGAATATCATTTCTGGCCAGAGGAGCAAACCAACTCCGTAGCCTGGAGCCTACTTATACATACATAGCTTCTACATTTCGATATCGCTTTTTTTTTCGAAGGTGGTGGGACTTTCCCTGGTTCAGGGCGACCTGGAGTGCAACAGTAACTTGAGCTCAACAGAAGGATGTGTTGGATGAAATGCGAGATAGGATTCTCAATGGGGGTTTCTTGAGAGTACATAGCAAGAAGATAGTGCACTGGATCGTCGTAAAATATCAGTTGAATGGACCATCAGGCCCCTGGCAAAATTCACCACAGATATAGTCTGCTGGAAGTGATAATGTGGATATTACGATTGAGGGATAAAGCCCTGCTTAACATTCAGCACTACCGCGTTGGTAATCGAAGGCAAGAAGAAGCCGCTTTGGAGACGTGGATTGTTATCAAAACCTCCAACTGAGTACAACATGTCGACTCTGGAGGTAATTTGAATCAGACAAAAGTTTATAATTGGCGTCCGACTCCGAACCCCCTGGCGCCTTCGCAGAGATCACTTTCCTCAAAATCATGTAAAATCGGCCCTGCGGCCGCTTCGAGCGCGCCAGGCGGCCAGGCCCGAGTTGAGTTAGAAAGTCAGGCCCCCTGGAGCCGCCGATACACGAATGAAGCAGGGCTTAAAATTACGATCTACAAATGTTATCTAAAGACATCGTATTCTAAATGTACTTTTATATATTTCTTGGTTATTACGAGACTTCTGTTTTCCTGTTGACGTGATACGATTATGAACCGTCTTAGGAATAAATATGTGTTTGAATGACTGATTTTCATCAGGAGCTACTGCAGATGTGGATGCACCTATGAAATCCTGGTGCCCAAAGAAATCTGGAGTAAGAGATAGGAAAGAGTACCCAAGCACGTTTGTTGGCAATGTGACGAGCCGATTCTTTGGAATGCGGAATCAATCGCAACATCAACCGATCTGATTTGGATTTGGATTTTGATTTCTGCTATGAGCTTAAGAAGTGATTTTGTTCTAGGTACCTTGTCTCGGAACATTCAGCGATTCTGATTTTGTTATGGCTAGTCAAGGTCTCGGTTCCATCCAGTGATGTTAGAAAATGCTTAGAGAAGTTTAATTTGAATATCTGAATCCCAAGACTTATTAATAAATCCTGGAGGATTCTGAGTGGAACAATTGGGAAGGGGGAAAGATGAAAAAGTCTTGAATTGATTGAAAAGGAGAAGAGGACTTCTTGCAAGGAGCCCCAAAAGAAGAACTTGAAAAATGTGATATTTTGAACAAGAAGATAAGGAATATGCAAAGTTATTATTTAAGAGAAGCAGAACTCTGAGCCATCGATCAGTAAGATTATTCAAGTCACAAATGTAAGGATTTGGTTGTCAACAAGGCTTTGTGGGTTTATGGGTGGTTAAACCTCGTGTCGGCAGGTCGGACAGTCTCGATGACCTCTACCTAGGACCCAGGTTTGAAGACAAGAACGGTGGAAGTAATGTTTGCAGCCGTCGATCATCAAAACTTTGTCGAAGGACCAGCGATTTTTGCCATCTCTCTGAGGCGATTTGAATTTTTCTAGGCAAACGACACACTTCCGGTGGTCTGGATCGGCTAAAAGGACCTCCGTTATTTCGTCAAGCGATTGATCGGAAGTTGAAGAACTGCCATCATGGTAATCGTGGGGCCCATTCCCAGAGGTGCGAAGTCCAATACGGTGACTCCGTTGAAGAGCTGCGTTGGAACTTAAAGGTAGCGTCTTGAGGGCTTGTTCTAGCGGGACTGTATCCTGTCGTATGGATGGAGACGGCTTGAGCATATATCCCAGCAACCTGGTATTTTCGATCTTATCGGTTTCCTTGTAAGAACGGGGGCCTGTGGGCGGGCCAGCCTGTACCAATCGGAGGTGTTCAACTTCAGAAAGCGCTTGCTCCGGAGCAATGTACAGCAGATTGACACCCTGCTGTTGGTATCTTTGGAACATATACTCTTGCTCAGGTGTTATTTCGGGTGGCTCTGGAGCTGCTTGGAGAGTCGCTCTCCCCTGATCACGGCCAGAATTCCTGTGACGAATCCGGTCAAAAAGACTTGAGCCTGGGAAGCGAAGCCGATTGGCAGTCCTGTCTCTGTTTGACGGGGTAATTCGTTGCTCAACCTCTGAAGTGGCCCGAATTTCTTCTGAAAAATGTGCTCCATCTCCTAGATGGTATCTTAGGTCCCCCGAGAGATTTTGTAGATCCATGGCCAGCAGAACACTACAAAACTGAGATGTGATTCGTTTATAGTCAGTAATTTTCACTTCCTGCACATTTAAATCTATGATCCCATAAAGACAGTAGGGCTCAACTATACTTAAGACGAAAAGCTTCATGGCGAGCCAATTTTCTCGACAATTTACGACAATCGATGTTCAAAAGAATGCAAGAGCCGAGTTGATCGTTTGTGAGTTCTCCATTGGCCCAGGGAAACTTGGGCTATTTATATGTTGGTCTGCAAGCGCGAGGCAGGACTTAAGTTTTTCCTGTCCTCTGGGCCATCAGCTGATTGCTACACGAGTTGAAGCAATCGCCAAATCATTCTAGAACTTCAAACAGACGTGGGGTGACCGGCAGCGGGATCATGGGGCGGGACAATAGTCCACTATGGAGTCCACAGTGGAAACGCCGGACCCCGAAACCATACCCCCCCAGGCGACAGAGGAATTCGTGAGAAGCAAGCTCAGAAGACAAGTGAGAGCGAGTGTATTTTTATGTAGGAACTCCACCCTCCTCAAGCTTGGACATTACCGCCCAAGGCACCCAGTCCCAACATCATCCAACTTGCATTGTTGCACTCCTCTTTGGGGCAATCCATCTCGGTTGAGCTAAGACCGACCACCTGGGTTATTTGTAACTCTTGGCAAAAGGAAGGGAGCCCGAATCTTCAGAGTTGTTATACATAGTGTTATTCTTTTCAGGGAGAAGTCTTCTCGAACAATCGCAATCCCTTATCTGAGTTTACGTAGTACAAAACTCCATATAACAGAGGGGTTTCCTCATGAGATGATTACATATAATAGCGGAAGATTTCATTCCATTTATCCACCAAGCCCGTTTTACTCTGACATCATGAGTCTCTGAGCACGGTGCTCTGTATATTTTTTTTCTCTCCTGTCGGTCTCATTTGTTATGCTTTCACTTTGATTTCAATCAGTGTCTTCTTTGGTAGGCATCTTCAAGACTTTGTCCAATGGTGATTCCTTCAGAGCTTTCCCAAATTCCCCTTATGCCAAGCTAGCTCAAGTCAGGAGCGTGACATGCCAAACGCGTCACGGTCGCGCCCTCCAGACTACATAGGTGCATACACCTCGGTCTTAAGCTTGTCCTTTCAATTTACTTACATGTACTTCCATCCTTTGTTGCTGCTCCCGATGGTATCCAAACAATTGTAAGTACACTCTATTTACTTTGTTTCTCAAGCTGTTCCCTTACAATTTTCTGAACGCTTGGAACTGACTCTCCAAAATTCCTGACCAGCTGGTATCCTGTTTTTGCTCTCTTCCGTCATTACCCAGGGAATTCGTTCTCCTCGATCATTGATCGTTCCTCCTATGTATTATGGATCCCCGTCGTCGCACGCTTGCATCGGGCGATCCTTATGGTGGATCCAATATTCCTCTTCCTTCGTCGGTACTGAAGAGACCGCAGGCTCAAGTGGCAAGCTCCACTAGGGAGGGTGGTGGAGCCAACAGATTCTCGCTGCTCCCTCAACGCTTGCCATCCCACTCTGGTGAGTCGACTGATTATTTCTTTGTTGCCCCCATCCCAATCTTACTTAGCTGATGGAATTTAATCTGTCCACAGGTCCCAGGCAGCCGAGTGTTGCAACGAGCTCGAATTTTCAGTTTCCTCAACATTCTGATGCCTATTTCCAACCTTCTCCAGCTTCTGGCTTCTCGAGTCATCAACATCAAGACGCTGCTATACGTTCGTCAGTCTTCCAGGCCCCACAGACTGTCAATCGACAAGCTACCAGTGGCTCTAATTTCCCCGCGGCTAGCCGAGCCTCCATGTCGGTGAATAGAAACGAGCATGCCCACTACCGATCAAGTAGCGCCAACGATGTCCCTCCTGTGGGCCTGTTCAATTTGCATTCCACGCCTTCTGCTAACCGAGCTTCATCTGTTGGGCCATTCCAAGCATCTCACCACGGCACCTCTTCCCTGCTCCCGCCCTTTCAAACCTACAAAGACCCTCGTACACGCGACAGAAAGACAATCGCTTCTTGGCAACATGAAGTTTACGAGTTTCTTCTAGAGCGTGGCTATCCCGAACCATTGACAATCAAGACCCTTCAGGCTCCAACAACCAAGGACTTCCAAAACATCTTCAAGTTCATGATCCAATGCTCTGACCATGGCCATGTCTGGGGACTTTATGGGAAGAAACTGGAGGATGAAGTAATCCCTCTGTTGAAGAGTATGGGATATATTGCGTATGATGCACTCACGAAGAGTGGATTACAAGCCCCCGGGAGTATGCATACCTGGCCTACTCTGTTGGCAATGCTGCATTGGATCGTTACAACCATCAAGGTATAGGATTGATTGGGATGCTGATGATGACTGATTGACGCAACTGACTTATGTGGGATGCGTCTGTCTGCTTTGATTTTAGCTGCGTGAAGAAGCGATGTCTAATGAAAAAATAAGATTGGACACTCAAGTCGAACCATCCCCGGACGACAGCAGCGCCGAGGACCTGGTAGCCACCAGCCACTGGTTACAGTATCTCGAGGCGACTTACAAACTGTTTCTTCAATCAGATGATTTTGACCGTGAATTACATAAACCACCGTTAGAAGAGTACTTCCGTAAGTCTCTGTGGATTGAACTGTTTGTTTTTCTGCCCTGTTTGTTGTTTACTGATCTCGTCCTTTCTCAGAAAAACGCAAGGACCGGGTCCTATCTGAAATCGAAAGACTTGAGCGTCGTAATACCCAACTAGAGCAGAAATTCAACCGTCTAGCTAGTAAACCTGTCCGTCACCTCTTGATTTCATTTTCGTCGCACTTTCATGTCACTTTCAACTTACAATTTTTTTTTCTCTTCTGTTTCTATTCTTACCATATAGTCAGATCTGGAAGGAGCTAAGAGAGAGCACAAAAAACTGGCCAAGGATGCTCAAAGCTTTTTGGAATATCTAGGCAAACTGAAAGAGGCAAACAAGAAGTCAGAGAGGTACAACGAATCAATCAAGAAAAGCTTGAAGAGTACAGGTTGAGTCGGTATTTCTTTCCAGCTTGCTCTGCTAAAAATCACCAATCATTCGAGGTGAATGATTCTAACCAAAAAAATGAATTTAACTTCTTTAGAGGTAACTTTGAGAGAAGCTATACAAGAAAAAGGCCGAATTAGCAGCGGTGGTAGCCAAGCAAAACATCAGTGATGCCGAATTGCAACACATCTCATCCACTCGGGCTCAATTAGAACGATCATCTGCTGCTGCCCAGGCGAAGCACAGTCAACTGAAAGAAGCAATGCTTGACTTGGAAGTTCGAAGCACTCAAGCCTCCGACCGAGTCGAGAAGACGCTGACGATGTACAAGAGCAAAGCCGTCAAACTGGGCTTGATCCCTCGTGCGCCAGAGCCATTCGAGCATCTTGACTTCAGCCAAACTGTCAACAGCGGTGCCGCCGATGTCTTCGACATGCTTCCTGATACACTTATCGATATCAAGCCGGCACTTATCCAGCTCAAGAAGAACGCAATCGTCCATCGCTTGGGATTGACTGATCAGGTCCTCTGGGTCGAAGAAAAACTCGCAAACCTCACCGAAACTCTACAAGAAAAACGAGAGAATCTGCATACCTTGGAGACCTCGGTTCAGCAGTTAGCCAAACAACTTGAAGATGATAAAGAAGTCAGTTGGCTATCCCTTTGTTATAGCATGGAAGTTCTCAAAAGTTTTTCAGAAGTCGGATGGGACTGAACAAGAGTGTTTTGATCTTTGTTTCTTGTGATAGAAATTTGCGGCGGAAATTGGTCGAATGAATGAACAAATTAACGCTGTTCTCAAGCGAGTTACTGATACTGAGTCCACAATCGAAACGAATCGGATAACAATTGGTCGTGAAATCCAAGCTCTGAGAGTGAGGTGAATTGATTCCGTAATTCCTTCTGACAATCGACTTCAGAAAACTAATGTGTCCCATCACTTGTCTCATTAATTCAATTGATCAAATAATCTGGTAGGTTTGATGAAACACAAGAACGTCTCAGTAAGCTGACTAAAGATAATGTGGACGAGATGAACTCGATCTTAGGGTTCATTGTATCTTATAAAGAGCGGATTGCTGAAAAGACCTTGCAGCTCAAGCACTTGTCTGAATCCACTGGTGGTCCTAGCATTAATCTTGATGTTAACTACCATAGCGGCAGCAATAACACCTTCATGCGCATTTAATCCTTATGTATCTGATGTGTTTTTTTTTTTCCAAAAAATACCTTTCACCTGTTGTAGTGTCTTGTTTTCTGTTGTTTGACTAGCTGAATTTTATTACATGTGAAGACAATTGATTGTGTGAGTGATACTGCTTTCTGGTTGCAAACGGTGTCAACATAGGGCAAGCGGAAATAAGAACTTCAACTGGATATTTTAGTCAACAGAAAGCCTGATTGAGGATCTTATCACCTGAAGGCACTCGAATCAAATCACTCAGAATTTCAGCCAGGATGGAGTCATTTTATTGAATGAAGACACATCTAGGTTGGATGCTGTAATGTATGCATCAAGCTATGCTTACACCTTGGTCTTGTTGCACACCAGTCCTGGCACAATCTCATGATCAACAATCAGCACATACTTTCAACTGGTGCCCCAGACATGATTGGTGCAATATGTTGAGTGAGCTATCATATGATTGGTAGGAACAGGACAGCATAGTACACAATCATTTTGACACCAATAACAGCTACAGGGGTTTTGCCTAACAATTATCCACATGAAAAAAGGGTGCCATAAGAATGTGCTTGGAAATATTTTGTAAACAATACTTGGAAATTGAGAATGAAAAAGACCACTATGCTTCCACTTTTGGTAGGGTTGCTTAGCACAGTGTTGAAGAAAAACTGGAATTGTTCAGATGAAATGCAGGAAAAGAGAATATACCAGTGCCTCTGATTGATGGCTACTTGAACATTGTGACAAAAATTGAGAACAAAAAAAACCACTGTGCTTCCACTTGTAGGGTTAGCACAGTGTTGAAGAAAAAAAATGGATTGACCAGAGGTGACAAAGGGAAGTAAATCAAGGGCACCCATCCTGATTTGCTGGCAAAGCATTGTTTTGCCATCTTGACCTGTCAGCCAATTTGCACTGGAAAAGCACATGTAACAAGTTAGATATCATGATTAGTGACTTGATTGGCTAAAGAATCATATAATAATTCACAACAGGAACTCACTTCTTCTTCACAAGTGCTTGCTGTGATTGATATGTTCATTCCTCACCACCATCCTCTACAAAAACCCTTTGAACATATTGTTCAAGCCATCTACCAGCCCTCTTGGTGCAGAATGCGATTTGGGTGGTTGGTACTGGAGTCGTTTTGATCTGAAACGGTTGTAGAGGTGCTGAGGAAGGTATGCAGAGTGGACCGATAACAATATCATAGGCATGATTAAAGCCACAATGATCTCTTGACATGTTTTGATCACAAAAGGTTCTCCAGCTTGCTAAGTCGTCGCTTGGTAAGTATTGCTTCACATCAAATGGGTGTTCACCTTCTGAGGGTGGGAGATCCCCGTGGAGGACTGCGGTTGGGATGTTGAATTGAAAGATAGCAATCAGGCTGTCAGGTGGGAGTCCTGGGTGGTTGTGGAGTGGGAGCTCAAACGCTTGTTGTGGGTCATTGGTAGTGTAGAATGTGGGAGCCTTGGAGAATTCGTTGCGACAAGCAATGGGTTGGATACTGTGCTGATAGAAAGATGCCATAGAAGACTTTCGAGTGCCATGGAAAAGTTGCGTAATTTTTGGATGGTGAGTAAGACGAGTGTCGTACATCATGTCGGAGGTGGCAATGTCTTTGATCAACTCATGGCTTTGCTGAGTGATGGTTAGCTTGTGATGTTGGTAGTTTTTATCAGGGGTTGTGAACCTTCCCATTTTGACGACTACAACTTGTGCCTCATGAAAACATTTTCCTGCAGCTTTTGAGGCTGGTTGAGGTGGATCGTGTTGGCCAGCAGAGCCATTGTGTTCTTGAAGATCCTCCAAGATTGATTCCAGTATTACAGCGTTATGGTTCCGCAAAGTAAATTCAATCCCCAACTCGGATTGCAAAAGTTGGCCAAGGGTTTCCTCGAGGGTGAAGACGTATTCTGAATCCAGGAAACTCTTGCAAAATTCTAGAAATTCTGGAATACCAGTTGGTATTTGGTAAGCTGCAGGATGTTGGTGGGCTTCATGAATGATTGCATCCCATAGAGTGTAGTGGCATTCCACATCCCACTCCTGAAACCGTTTTAAAAGGTGGCGGGAAGAATCAGGCTCTTTGATGAGTTGAGTGGCAGGAGCTTGCCTAGATAGTTTAGCAAAAGAATCAATAAGTACAAAGATTGGCGTGATGGAAAACAAAGTGAAGATTTGTACCCATTTGAAGTTTCATCAAGAGTGATTTTGTTGGTAGGAGGAGTTGATGCAGATAAATCAATCATATTGAGAGTGTCAAGTGTTTTTTAGATATAATGTTGTTGAGGTGACCTGTTGGAATTGGTAAGAACACAAGAGTTGCCAGATGTGTTTAGGAGGTTCGTGGGGGGTGCTAGAAGGTTTACGGGTTGCTCTGGGGGGGCTAGGCACCCTCTTGAGGTCTTGAAGTTGCCTTGCAAGTCCTTGACAGGTCTGGGGGGGCTCTGGGGCACTCGGCAGGCTGCTTGGGTGCTCTGGACGGTTGGTTAGCGTTCAGAATGCTGCTGGGCGCTCTGGAGTGCTTAGTGCGCTGTTGGGATCCTCCGGGGCGTCTCCGAGGTTGTCGGATGGGTCCTGGGCTAGGTGGGCTTCTGGGTCGTTCCAAGGGCTTCTGGGCGCTCTGGAATGCTCAGTGGGCTGGTGGGATGCTCCGAAGTGTCTCCAAGGTTGTCGGAGGAGTCCTGGGGGCGCTAGGTGGGCTCCTGGGTTGTTCCGAGGGCTTCGGCGATGCTCTGGGGTCCACGATGGAGCTCTGGACGGTCTGGGGTCTTCAGGCGACTTCCGGGGCGGTCCGATGACAATTCCGTGACGTTGGAGTGGTCTAGGGGGTGGAGGTCTTGGGCGGGTTCCGAGGATCCTGGGTGACTTCTGAGGTTCCGTAGGAATGTATGGGTAAGGTGCAACGATCCGACAATAAAAACCGGGCGACCCAGCGAAAAACAACAAAAAAAGGCCTTGTGGAGGTTCAAAGGGGGGGAGTGATAACCACACTCCACCCCCCTTCGAACACACACTCCCACACTCCCTTCTCTGAAGGGAGTGTGGGACCGCACGCCAATTGAAATTGGCGTGCGGACCTGCACGCCAGCCCCCTGCACGGGCATTACCTCAGCAGGTTGGCGTGCGGGTCCGCACACCAAATTTCGATTGGCGTGCGACGCTGCACGCCAACCGGTAAGCGAG